CCCTCCCGGCCCCGCCTGCCCGCCGGCCGCAGGTTTCCCACGGATTCTGCACCCGGAAACTCAGGTGTGCGCGGAGGCCCCGAAGTCCTCCGCAGGTTGGTGAGCGTGCGCTGTCGTGCGCTGGCCCCGGGCGAGTAGAACTGCCAGGTAAGAGGCTGAGGCCCCGGATGGAATGACAGGGCGGTGATCTGCGTGCTGGCTGTGACTAGCCCATCACTCCGCCACCCGCGTTCCCCCCGTGTGGTCGCTGGTCGCGGCTGGGGGACGCTCGCAGCCGGGAGGGACCTGAGCGGGTGGGGATCGGCGGTCGCTGAAGGGAGAGTTTGAGACTGAGGCGTACTTTTGAGTTAATCCTTGACATCATTTCCAATCCTTTGGCAAATCTTGTTAGCTCTGCCTTCAAAGTACACCCACTCCCACGGCGGGCACCATGGTCCAAGCCACCCCCATCTCTGTCTGGATGATCGCCTTGACACCTTTTGTTGTAAGTCCAACCCCTTATCCCATCTCTCCACCGGGATGTGTAGTGGGGCTCTCGGAGTGTCTGAAGCAGCACTCTTGCTGCCACCTCCCTGCCCCCTCTCTGCCAAAACGAAACAAAACAAAGTCTGCTACAGCCGAACCGCTCTCAAAACCTAGGAACCCCGTTCCTCCCGGTATTCAGCCCAAAAGCCTTGAGGTAATCCTTGACATCGTTTCCAATCCTTTGGCAAACCTTGCTAGCTCTACCTTCAAAATACACCCACTCCCACTGCTGTCACTGTGGTCCAAGCCACCCCCATCCTGTCTGGATTGTCGCCTTGTGCGGTGTATGCTTATGCTTGATGGGAATGGAGGATGCTCAAGCATAGTGTGCCCTTTAACAAGTGCCTGTAACCCATTCGGATCTGCCTAGCACTTGAGTGCCGAACGGGTCCCTTAAAAATAATCTAATCCCATGTGCAGTAACAAGAGCCCCGAGACCTGGTTTCCTTGTGGTGTTGACAAGACATTGAGCCATGCGGAGCCTTAATTTCTCCAACTAGTAAGCAGGACTAACTATAGTCTTAGCTTGTAGAGATTTAATGATGGTTAAATGGGCTAAAAAAAAAATGTGTGATACGCTGGGTAAGTGCTAAACCATTATGTGTAAGAATGCTGTTATTACAAACGAAGAATCTGGTGGGTGAATTACAACAAATGCTGAAAATAATCTTCCGCATTTTAAACTTATTATACTAAAAAGGAAAATAGGCAAATCTAAACTGTAATGTTTAAGGATGCACACGTGGATGATGCAACTATAAAGAAAAGGAGGTGCCTAGAAGGAGTGTGAGTGACTGGAGGACAAAGAGGGCTCCTGAGGTGGCCAGCGAGGTTCTAGCTTCTGATATGAGTGATGGTTTGCGTTATCTTTTATTATATCACATTATCCCGGCATTTATCAGCTTGAATAACTATAATCATTTATTCTATCACAGTTTCTGTGGATCAGGAGTTTCTTACTGGCTTAGCTTAGCGTGGACTTCCTTAAGAAGTTATGGTGAAGATGCCAGCCCAGGCTGAGTCATTTGAAGGCTGGACTGGCACTGGAGGATCCATTTCCAAGGTAGCTCACTCATGTCGCTTTCAAATTTGTTGTCCACAGGAAGCCTCTGTTCCTCCCGTGTGGACCTCTCCATTGAGCTGCATGAGTGTCCTCACTACATGACAGCTGACGTCCTTCAGAGTGAGTAATCTAACTTCTGAGTCAGAGTGATCTAACTAAGAGCCGTAGTGTCATTTATGACCAAGCCGTCATACTCCTTCATTTCCACAATATCCATGTGGTTACATAGGTCAATCCTGTTTACCGTGGAAGGAGACTACACAAGGATGTTGAAAACCGAGACGCAGGAATCATTGGGGGCCATCTTGGAGGCTACCACTTGGTTATAAGAGTGTTTGCCTCATAATAATTCATTGGCTGTACATTTGTTTTATGTGGCTTTCTGTATTGATGATATACTTACATCAAGTTTTTTTAAAAAATAAGACATGACACTGTAGGGAAAATGCATTTATTATCACGAAATTACAAATATCATTAAAGATCCTTTTTCTCATCATTGCTGAACATTAAGAATTTATGAAGTTTGGGACACAATGGTGTAGGCATTGGCATATAGGGGACTTGTCTTGTGGTTTACAGCTCACTTGGCAAGATAGACATTAAAAATATTAAAAACTAGTACAGTAATGTTTTTTCATCCAATGATCAGACTCTTGGTTGCAGTTGACAGAATTCCTACTCCAGCAAGTTTAAGGAATGAGGACATTTATTAGCCTGTGTAGTTGGGAAGAATGCTAGGTCACAGAGTCAAAGAAAGAACTACAGAAATCAGGGTCTTGGAAACTAGGATTGGACACTCATTGCTTTTAGGCCTATCTTTGTCCGTTTTCGCTGTCTGGGTTCATTCTGCAGAACAGGATCTCTTCATATGGCCAAGAAGATGGCCATCTGCAGCCCAGCTTCACATCCTTCCAGTTCAGAAACCCCAATGAAGAGTTTCTTTCCCCACAACCCACATATTCATACCATGTAAGGAAAGAGGGTCTTCTTTGCCCTGGTTAAGTCATCCCCTCCCCTGTTGCAGGGACATAAAGTACTACAGTTGGCCATCTTGTGCCTAAGAGAGTATAGGAATTGTCACCTTCCTCTAGAACCATGAGGAGGCCAAAGGGCTGGGCTCCCAAAGGAAAGCATGAACATCACCTGGACACCTTTTAGAAATGCATAATCTCAAGCTCCAGCTCAGAATCAGACTCTTAAAAATTAATAACTGTTACCCTATCCTATTTGATTTGCAGATACTTCTGTTATATGAAGTTGAACATGGAGGAAGAAGAGGACTATATGTCTGATTCCTTCATTAATGTCCAGTAAGTCAATGTGTACACCTCATGGAATGCTGTGTATAAGACATTAATGTAAACTCTTAAGCAATGACATTAACTTTAAATGTGAGGTTGGAAAGTTAGTTTTATTGCTTTATTGGAACACCATCTACATATCCACACAGTGCTACAAGGAGCCTCTGAGTGTTACGCATTTTACTCTGCCTTTGATTCTTTTTATTCCCCTCTTCCTAGGAAATTTGCTCCTTTCCTTTATTTCATCTTATTGTCTCTCCTAGCTACTATTCAGCTTGGCTCATTATTGTTGCCAGCCACCTAGAACAGTTAATGAAAACTTACTTTTTAAACTGTATACTTTCTTTAGTTTTCCATAATCTGGCAACAACCATCATCATTTTTATTAAAATAGCCATTCTCAGGTCACTGATTACATTCTAATATTTATGATAACAAAGATGGTCAGAGAGGTAGCACTGAAATATGAAGTAGTGTCAGGTGAGTAAGTTTCAAAGTCATGAGAAAACTTCAGGTACTCATGTAAAACAGCCTTTTCCCTTATTCTTCAGAGAAGATATCAGACCAGGATTGCCAATGCTGAGGCAAGTTCGAGAAGCCCGTCGAAAAGAAGAAAAGCAACATGAAACTAATTTGAAAAATAGGCAGAAGAGTTTAAAAGAAGAAGAACAAGAAAGACGTGACATTGGGTTGAAGAATGCACTAGGCTGTGAAAACAAAGGGTTTGCTTTGCTCCAGAAGATGGGATATAAAAGTGGTCAGGCCCTTGGCAAGAGTGGTAAGTCACATCCAGAAATGAAAAAGTGTTCCTAACCACGAAATGGTGGTTCACCCATGGGTACCAGAGATGACTGATCTTATTCATCTACACAGAAATCCAAACAACTTAAGCGTCTTAGTTTCTTATGTGCTAACAAGTATTATGGAGAACTTTCATCTTCCCACATCCACTGTAGACAACCATGGGCCACCAAGAGCTGCTTATCAGCCCAGCTCAGCCTTGAAGTCACTAACAGTGGGGATGGGCAAAGCTTACAATGGAGACAACAGCCAACAATGGCCAAAGGAAAATGAAACCACATTGAGGACTATGCCAGGACTCTACCCTGTTTGCTCTGTACCTGTAGCAGCTGCCTAAGTTGGAGAGGCTCCATTCTCACTTCTCTTTGTAGGAAGTGAAACCGTTTAATAAAATATAGAGGCCATATATTTAAAGTAGCTTCTGTCACCCTCTTGGATGTTTAATATAAATCTTTTACTTCTTAAAACACTATCTTTAGGTGACCCAGGAGGCTGTGGGTCAGCCTTATTGAGGACTATGTATTCAAAATGAGGTAATTGATTTACAGTATTGATGTTCAAATTGCAGTTTGAATATCACTGAAACAGGAGAGGATTTCTGTGGAACGTTGTAAAGTTGCATACTCTGCTTGTCCATAGTTTGAGGAAGAATTTCTAAAGTAGTTTGTGTTTTGTTCTCTTTTTTTTAGGAGATGGTATTGTTGAACCAATTCCTCTCAATGTCAAAACAGGTATGTAATTATTTTTAGGGACATTTACCAGTAATAGTAACTTATGCTTATATCTAGCACATACATTTGCTTAATAAGTACTATTTTATGGTGGTACTGTTATAGTTTTTATCATAGGAAGTCCTCAGGAAAATTTTTCTTAGTTAAATTTCTAAACCTTTTAAAATAAAAATAAGTTTTAGTGAGTATAAAATTTTAAATAATAAAAAATCTGGGGGGAAATTGTTGTAACCATTAAAAATGCAAAGGTATTTTTATCAATTGAAATGTTCTGAAAGTATTCTGAGACAGATTTATCCATTAAAAGTTTTCCTTAAATATCAGATCACTTTGTAAAGTTTATGATTGTCTAACTAGTATGCTAGACACCTAAAACGAATACAAAATAATATTGAATGTAAACTGCATTTGCAAAATAAAATTTAAAAATAAATGTTTTTCTTAATACTTTGAATGAATTATATTTGAAAAATATATGTTTTATTTGTTCATCATATTTATATGAAAGTGTAACTGTTGGAGTTGTTCTCCCAATTTAAAAAAATTGTATAGTATTACTGTCATATTAGATCAAACTAATAATGGTCTTTGTAAAAACTCAAATTGTGTGTTTAGGGTTGTTGTTTTTTTAATCTGTTTTCTCCTGTCATTCTGATCAAATGATTTTGAGTGATTGTACTCAAGTTACAACTGCATTTAATTTGTAAATATGAAATTGTCACGTTTTGAAATGTAAATTTAATAAGCTTCTCACAGAGTTGTCTGAACAGGAAAAAGTGGCATTGGTCATGAGACTTTATTAAAACGGAAGGCAGAGGAAAAATTAGAAAGCTACAGAAGAAAGATTCACATGAAAAACAAAGCTGAAGAAAACGCTGCAGAGCAGTTCCGGTAAAACTTTGTATTTGAGCTGCTTTTGGTTTCATCTTGTCTCAGTGTGTTTTTGTTTTTAATAGATTTCAGAGAGGAGGGGAGAGGGATAGAGTGATAGAAACATTAATGATGAGAGAATCATTGATCGGCTGCCTCCTGCATGCCACACACTGGGGTTAGAGCCCTCAATCTAGACAAGTATGACTGGGAATCGAACTGTGACCTCCTGGTTCATAGGTTGACCCTCAACCACTGAGCCCACTGACCAGGTAGTTTTTTAGTACTTGGGCATAGAAAATGGATAAAGCAAGTAAAGACCTTTAATGTGCTATTTTTTTCTTTAATTAGAATGCGACTTAAAAGTAAGCAAGATGAAATGAAGCTGGAAGGAGATCTTAGAAGAAGCCAGCGAGCCTGTCAACAATTGGATACTCAGAAGGCAAGCCTTTTACCTGCTTTCAGTTTAGTAGTGAAGTGTTTTGGCACCCAACGTGATTTGCCATGAATTTACGTTTAAAAACAACAAACCAACAAAACATTCCAATTCTGGCATACCTCGTCTTCTGCGGAGTAAAGCAGCAATTTTCAACCTTTTTCATCTAATGGCACATCTAATAAACTAATTACTAAAATTCTGTGACACACCAAAAAATATATTTTTTGCCCATCTGACAAAAAAATAGATATAATTTTTATTGATTTCTCTCTTTCTCTCAAAATCAGTTTTAAAAATACAGTTTTTAAAGTCTCAAAATGTAAAAATTTCTATTATCTTGAAATATATTGCGAGGAGCAACCTTATTTTTATATATTTCCCTAGCACTTTATTTTGAATGTATGTCTTGACTCTTAAGATTTTCTGGCTTTTATGTATTATTTTATATATTTTTCTTTATTGGTTAAGGCATTACATATGTGTCCTTATATGTATTATTTTATATCCATTAAGCTATTTATGTCCATAGCTAATTTTCCCTACTAGACTGACAGCAACTTGGAGACAATACAATATTCTAATTGGGCCCTAGCTAGGTAGCTCAGTTGGTTAGAGGTTTGTCTCATGCACAAAAGGTGGCAGGTTATGCCCTGACCGGTTTGGCTCAGTGGATAGAGCGTCGGCCTGCGGACTCAGGGGTCCCGGGTTCGATTCCGGTCAAGGGCATGTACCTTGGTTGCGGGCACGTCCCCAGTGGGGAGTGTGCAGGAAGCAGCTGATCGATGTTTCTCTCTCATCGATGTTTCTGACTCTCTGTCCCTCTCCCTTCCTCTCTGTAAAAAATCAATAAAATATATTATTTTAAAAATCAACTTTTAAAAAAAAAAAAAAAAAGGTGGCAGATTTGATTTCTGGTCAGGGTACATACCTAGGTTTCAGGTTCAATTCCCATTTGGGGTGTGTAGGCCCTGTACAGGAAGGCTACTGATTGATGTTTCTCTCTCACATTGATGTTTTCCCCTCTGTCTGTCTCTCCCACCATCTCCCTCTAAAATTCAATAAGCATTTTAATCAAAAGGATGAATTCATGTTGACATGAACATACTGGTGATAGTCTCATGTTTAGCTATGTTTAATTGGGAACAATTCTACATTTTCAGAATATACAGGTTCCCAGGGAGGCCTGGTACTGGCTGAGGCTTGAAGAGGAGACTGAAGAAGAGGAGACTGAAGAAGAGGAAGAGGAAGAAAACGAAGAAGATGAAGATGAATGTGAGAGTGACGATTTAAGTGTATGTTTTGGGACCATTTCCTTGAGCAGGGTGTCTCAGCATTGGCAATATTGACATTTTGAGCCGGGTAGTGGTTTGTTCTGGGGTGCTGTTCTGTGTATTGTAAGATGCCTGTTGCACTTGTGACAAGCGAAAATATCTCCAGACATTGTGAAATGTCCTCTGAGGGGAAATCACCCCTAGTTGAGAACTACTGCCTTATAGGTTTGTTAACCCCAGATCAAAACTTTATAATTTTTCCCTTTAGCTTCAGTTTACCCTCTCACCTCTGCTCTAGTGTGGTTGATGGATTAGCTGCAAATGTAAATTATTTTCATTATTACCTTGTTTCCTGTTAAACTTGTGGAAGTGATTCTCATAAGTACCCTTCTTCCCCACCCACAAACAAGACAAAGCAAACCTCAATTCAAAGGAAGAGGACATTATGCAAGAAGTCACTACACATTTCTATGGTTACATGTACATAAGACTTTGGTAGGAAACATTCAAAATTTGAAAAACCTATGTTCCACTTAAATGGGAGACCACTGATGAGAACTGTAATGGCACAGGGAGGCAGTGTTCTCCCTCATCCCACTGGGGAAGGTAGATTCTTTGAAAGTAGAAGTCGTCTTTAAACAATCCTCATCCTAATAGAGCCAGCCAAATTCTATTTCTGAATGTTAACAAGTAGTCTCGATTCTGTCTGGAAAACTTGTGAAAATAATCAGGGTAGCTGGTAAAGTGGGACACATGCTAAAACATTCTGCCTTTCACACCTCTCCTGACTGGTAGAGAGTGTAGCAGAAGATTTATGGCCTTGGGCTAGTTCAGCATGATCCCAGAGACCAGAAAACCAAGATCCCGGTCAATGTGAACCATTAATGTGCTTGTGTCCTATATCTAGGTACTGGACAAATTACAGATATTGACAAGTTATTTAAGAGAAGAACATCTGTATTGTATTTGGTGTGGAACAGCCTATGAAGGTAAGAAAATGCTTTAAACTTTTAAAAAATATTGAATACAAATGCTCTTTGATTTTAACTTTATTTTTTTTATGAATGTCATATTTCCCATAGATAATGGAAATTTCTTATTCTATCCAAAAGGTAATGTAGAATCAATGTCTTAAATAAGTAGTAAGTATAGAAATAATTGAGGCCTTGTTAAAGGTGTTTTTAACTGTTTGGAAACAAAGTGCAGAAGGGAATTTTTCAGTCTTTTATTCACTTAAGGATAATTTCTTTATGCTTTATTTTTAATATTTCTTAAGTTATAGATACTTGAAAGATATATTAACTTTTTAGAACTCATTATTATATAAATAGAATATTTGTCCCTGAACCATAAAAATCAGCATGTTGAAATCCACTTTGTTTTTTTAATTTTAGAAAGAACTGGTTTAAAACTTGTCATATGTATTACAGAGCCAAGTGCTTTCCCTTCTAATACAGTTGCCCATGCTGGCTTTATTAACTTGAATTTAAGGGCTTTGAACTTGAGAGTGAAGAATTTTTGGTTATTGTTGTTTTTACTAGTATCTTTTCCTGGTTTAACAATCAGGAGCAAACAAAGCTACAAAATGCATGTTAGGTTGAACTAAATTTCTAGAATAGTTTACAAGTCTTCTATTTTCTTCATGTAAATTACAGATAAAGAAGACCTGTCTTCAAATTGCCCAGGACCAACTTCTGCAGATCATGACTAAGATTCTCAATAAAGTAGAAACTTGGAAAATGCTGTTGTTTCCTAGACAGTTAAGCAGTTAGAATTCCCAAAAATTTTTATGCTTTTTTATGTTTTTTTTCTACTTTAGAAGTACTTTGTACTTTAAAATAAAAAAGTTCATGGACTCCAAAAATAAAATAATGGAATGCTTTTTAGAACACCAGATGGGCCATTACAAGTTATGGCTCTATTGTGATGCTTATGGAATTTAAGGACACCAACAGGTAACTCTCTTATTCCCCTCTTCACTTCGGAACAAGTTGAGAAATAAGATGTGGAAGTCAGATATCACAATATCAGTTTTATTGTCCGTGAAGCTGAAACAGAGAGCAAGGCTGACCTGTCTCCAGTCAGGCTCCCTAATAAATCCGCCTGATTGGAGAGAACGGCAGGCCTCTCTCTGCCTTGCAGGGACACAGCCCAACTTTGCATTTTGAGACCAGTTAGCTTTCTAGGTGAGAGGATCCACCAGACACTGAGCCTCACATGCTAAGTTCCCTCTCCCAAAATCACTCATCAGATAAGACATCGCTGCCCTGGCCAGTTTGGCTCAATGAATAGAGAGTCAGCATGCCCACTGAAGGGTCCTGGATTCAAATCCTGTCAAGGGTTCTCTCTCACATTGATGTTTCCTCCCTTCCACTCTCTCTAAAAATCAATGGAAAAATATCCTCAGGTGAGGATTAACAAACAAATGACACCGCTCTATTGAGAGGGAATGAATGAGGGTTCACAGAGCTTGTTCCCACACTTCTCAGAGCTCACTGCCTTAAAACAAACCATTCCATTGCTGGGAAGGTCTAAGCAATTTCAAAGTTATTTTTCTGTCTTAAGCTGAAATCTGCTTCCCTATAATTTAACTGAATGCAGCTGAAGACCTACTGTGGCACACCTCTGCAGAGCTCCATCCAAGGTTGGGCATCAAAACCGTGAACTTTTTTTTTTTTTAATATATTTTATTGATTTTCTACAGAGAGGAAGGGAGAGAGACAGAGAGTTAGAAACATCAATGAGAGAGAAACATCGATCAGCCTCCTCCTGCACATCTCCCACTGGGGATGTGCCCGCAACCCAGGTATATGCCCTTGACCGGAATCGAACCTGGGACCCTTCAGGCAGGCTGACGC